AGTTAATATATTCATATTATCAGTTAGAATTCAACGAAACAGCATTTTTAAAATACTATACTAATATTTAGATCACTAAATTGTGACATATTTTATCATAACAGTCTCGTAAATTTGTCTTCTTAGAGGATCAGTTATCGGCCTAAAAATAAGAAAAAAAGTTGTGTTGAAACAATTCCTCGTTAAATAGAGTCGCTGAAATAAGAAGCAAATTGATTATATATTTTAAAAATATAATAACGTTTTGTTTTGCAGAAAGTTTTTGTGTTTGTGACCAGTATGGGAAAAGGTATAAACCACATTGCGACGAAAGGAAGCACATGGTAGGACATCTTGGCACGGAATAGCTGGAGCAAATATTTTAGATACCAACTGTTGATATATCTCAGTGAGGAGGAATACTCTAGAAAACACAAGAATTGTAGCTCTTTGAAGTAATTGTCTTTTGTTCAGTTTTTGCGTAAATCATTGGACAATGTATCAAAAAGGATCAATTTATCTGAAACTTCACTGAAGGATAGATATACCACAAACAAGAATGACAACTCTCCAGTTTTGGGGTTATTGCCCTTTGTATTCACTATAATTAGTTTGCAAGGACCATACCTCTAAAGGTATTTGAGATATAAACTTGAAACTTTATATTGAACAAAACTTCCGTATGCTGTTTTAATTTAAGAAAACAAAACTGGAACAGTGCAGATAGAAGTGAATAGCAGAGCATAAGGGTCAGAAGTGTTCAGTCAATGCTTCTTTGTTGTTTTTTGATGTTGTTTATTTTTCATGGGAGTGTTATTTTTGTCATGATTTATTATTTTTCATCAATTTTCACGAGTGTTATTACTTGGATTTTTATATTAAAGGGTTACTTCGCCTATGAAATGAATTTCGACTTTTTTGGCGGGGGATTTTATTGTCTGTGATTCCTCCTTGTATGATTGTTATTATTTGAATGTCTTTTAGATATCCTGAAATCAATTTTGGTTTTATATAATAAATATAATGCCCTAATGAAGATTATCAATATTGTATGTTCCAAAAAGCATTATTTATATTTATAATACCGAATTAATATTTCATAATGGGATGTAATTAGAAATATATTTTCTTTTAAGTGTAAGTTGAATTCTTAAATAAGAAATGAATGCATACATGTATATTTTAATGATTACATATAATGTGGACAAGCATTTGCAGTACGTATTTCACATATTCCTTAATGTTTGAAAATTGTTTTAATAGCAAAATTATGTACATATAATTATATAAAATTTCAATTGTAATTACCAAGATATGGTAAAGACTGTGATGAAGAAATAACTGTTATCTTTGTTTCTTATTTATTTAATTTTGTTATTTTAGGTAAAAATAGGTACAATATGATAACTTTCATACTTAAAAATGTCAAGTTGTCAAGAAGTGTGATGCATGCTTTATATGCCATGGTAAGGCAGTACATTGACTTTTTAACCAGTTCATGACAAAAATGATTCACATGTTGTTCTTTAATAAACTATTCAAATCAACCGATAGATATTGACTTCTTTATGTTCATAAGCGTACCATTTTGTTGTTATAAAATCTAAATCACAAGTTAAACAAACACGCAAATCATTGTGATTTAAATTATTTACAAGATATTAAAGTCAGCAATTATTGAATAAATGCAGGCCTCTAATATGTGTCCGAGTCCAACAGAATCTTAATCCAGTATGGTACTAAACAATGTATAAAGTCTTCTTTATAAAGCACCACCATTGTTTTAACATCTCAAAAAACTTTATTCCTGAGATCCAAACTGTTCATTATTCATTTAAAGTCTTATAGTCCTATCTTTGTTGTTGGCAATAATTTTGAATCATCCCTTCGGATCCAACACAAGCCAAGTGCACCTTTTTGTAAAGTGATCCTGTCAGTTGAAACTTTGCCATGGCACCGGGTCCTGCCCAACGACGTAAGAAGTGATGTCTGTAAAAAGAAGGTAAACGTTAATGTCGTCAACACAGTTATAGACAAAATGGTTTGAAAATTGTAAGAATAATCCATAAAAGCTTGGCACATCAATGTGCATTCAAAATGTATATATTTGGGTCCGAGTGGGAGCTTCTCTGAAATCGAGTCCAAGTGGGAGCATTTTCCATTTTAAAAAAAAAAAACTTAAAAAAACTGACTTTTGAATAGAAATATTTGAATCTAATCTAGAAAAATGGATAAACATGACTCGGTTTATATTCCGGTACGTCAAACATAATTTTTAAGAAGGTTTTCAACCTTATTTCTTATATATTTTCTGGAAAAGTCCGAGTGGGAGCATTCAGAGAAAAACACTTATCCCGTTTTCAGGCTTAAACCAGGCAATAAATCTATTAAATTTTTTTACAATTATCTCAAGAACTATAGCCATTCTTTGGTGCGCTACATGATTTTTTAATACTCTTACGTTTTCTTATAATAAAATTGTATTTTACCTTCGAATCGACGAAAAAATGGTCCAAGTGGGAGCATTCAGCAGGTGCGCGATGACGTAGTATCCTACCATTGAGAGCAATAGCCACTGGATGTGGTAATTATAATTCTTTTTAATTTTGATTTGCTTTAGTCATTTTTAAGAGATTGTTTGAATGCGATATTTACTACATATTAATATGTCTTTTGCGAATAAAACATCGTACTTTTTTCTTTAAAGTGATCATTGTCATAATAAACTTGCATGTAAAATTTATTAAAACATGTAAATGGAAACAACATTTCCTAAGTAATCGACATGTTTCATCTTATATTGATGTTATCTAAATTATAGTAAAAAGTATATTGCATGAGTGTAAGTACAGTTATTGTAAAAATCGTGATTTAGGTATGGTTTAGTGTCAATCACTAGCCGTCAATGTGTTTATGACATATATATTCAGACTTTGCGACATACTGCACGTTCATGCATATATTTTGGCGTGGCGTTATTGCGTTACACACATCTGGCATAAAAAGTGCAAAACAATTGTGTTTAACTTGATCTTTTATTATCCAATGATCTAAAATTCTTTAAAATTAGTCACAAATATGTGCAAAATAATAGTAATAAGCTAATGAATAAAGTATTTCTGAAAGATGTAACACGAAACGATGGGCAAATACCAGTTCTATTCGATTTATTGCTTTCATAGAAGTTATTTTTAAACAGGAATGTAACATTATAGGTACAAAGCACGTGTTGCTCTTATGTTAGATTGTGCCGTGCAGATTATCTGACTACTCGAGGAAAATGGATTCATTTAGGGCATGTTTATTCCTATATTGGGAGGTTGGACTTTCACATTATATTATCTTGTAGATAACATTGTAGAAAAGGGTACGACTGGTGGGGTAATTTAGTTAAAACCATATTTAAATTATAATTAGATTGAAGGGAATTTTCTTTGTTGTTTGATTTCGGGTTTTACGTCACATCGACACAGTAAAGATCATATCACGAAATTCCAGCTTTACTGGTGGAGGAAAACCTCAGGTGCCCTTCCGTGTATTATTTCTGTCAAGAACGAGCAGAACCACCGACGTTCCGTAAGCTTGCTTGATTGCTTCCTCACATGAACGAATCCAAAGTCCCTGTCGAGATTCAACTCACAGCGGTAGGTTCAAGCGACCTTAAACAATTGGCACAGAGGCCCAAATGTTTCTTTGAGTTGCTATGGTTTTTCATCCGTACGAAATCTGCAACAGTTACTGTATCATTATTGTTATCATTAGTGAGGGCACCGATATTGTCAATGTGTTGACGAACAACAATATTTGTATTATTTTTCAGATATTTCTTATGTTTGATAATACATCTTTTTTAATAAAGATATTCAATACTACTAGTCTGTTCAGTGTTTCTACACCTGACACACTTCTTTTAGTAACTCACAATAAACGCAGCGATATAGCATATTAAATAACCAATTGAAACATCGATACATAGTTACTTAAAACACTATGCATTTAAGGCGCATATTTTACTGATTTTAATTCGGCATTGTTGAGTACAAAACTCAGAAAACAAAGTGATCCCTCGGAAGCATTAATCATAACAAAATCACCAGAGAATTGCAGACTCGGGTTTGAGTCTTTACATATAGGGATAATGTTAAGTGCAACATCTCTCACGACCCCTAGCGCCGGCTTGATCGGTACTCAATTCTCAACACTATCATACAGAATGTTATTTGTTGAGTACGTAGCTGTCAAACATTTATTGGATCAGGCGCGCTAGCCGAGTCCTATATTTGTTTTCAGCTGTGTACGAATCCGATAGAAACAGTTTTGTTCTCAAATATGTTTAAAGGACTCTTTACTTCACACTTACTGTTTTTTTTAACTTTAACAGAATTTTGTTACTTTAAATGCAAAATGGATTTTTTACGGACGCATGTAGACAGAAGGAATAAACTTGACCCAAATTCACCAGATGTATATGGAGATATCAAGTTTTACAGCGAAATTGTTGAACTCTTTATGGATTGGATGATTGAGCGAATTCGAAAAAGCGGCTTTGGGAACATATGGAAATCACTTGTTGTTTTTCAGAAAATGACACGGTGTATGTTGGACGAGCTTATAGGGCAATGTTCTTTGCTCAAGGAAATTACCCCGACCTTTACTTATACGATAACTACTTCCGGCGGATATTTCGTTTCAACTTCAACTACAAAAGTGCAACATTTCTATCCGACCTTGTTGATCCATTATTTGAAGCAAAAACAGACCAAAGACGTTAAACAATTGCAAAACGTAGCCTTTGTACAGAAATCAAGAACAGCAACTTCTCAGGAAAATATATCAGCAAGGAAAAGGCAGAGTTCCATTTTGACAATTCAACGTCAAGGGTGGATTATTTATATGTATTACAAGAAGAGGTTGCTCTGCGCGTTATTCGGCGTATACATTCGACAGTCGACGGATACACTGAAAACATCATAATATACAGCGTCACAGCTTCGATGGTGATAATAGTATGCCCATTTATCATGGCCTTTGCAGAGCAATTGACGAGTAACATGCAGGAGTACTCGAAGGTCCTCGTGAAGGTGTTTGATGAACTCAACAAAGTACGTTCTAAAACAGATTCTCTTCTTTATCAGATGTTACCTCGACCGATTGCAGATAGGTTAAAACGGAAGAGTGCCGTAGAATCTGAATTCTTCAAATCCGCCACGGTAATCTTTACCAGCGTGGTAGATTTTGTTCAGATGAGTATTGAATATTCTCCAATGGAGCTGATCGACCTCCTGAATATTCTTTATTCCTCTATTGATGACAAAATTGACATGTATGACGTGTACAAGGTATAGACAATAAATGACACATGGTTGTATCAGGTATGCTGCTTCTCTTGTATAACTAGATTCTCGTGACATGAATTTGATAAATTGGATTTCAAAATAAGTGATTTAAAGTCGATTAAGTCCGACATCTTCCGTTAATATTTTAAACATTAAATTGTGTCACATTTATATTGTTTTGGTTATTAATGGTCAAAGTAAATGGCGAGACATGTCAAAGTTATTTCAGGTGTATCCAAGTGACCTTCCTCATTATTTGCGATACCTTGTCTAATGTGTCTTATAAATGAGAGTTATACTTCTTTTTAATAAGAGGTGTCTACTTCAAATGGTAACAGACACACTTCAGGTATTGCCTACTTGCCCTTGGATATAGTGTCGTCAGTGAAGTATAAGACACTTATATCTGTGAACACCAAACATCCACTGCATTTATTGATGGGTATATGTACAGGTAGGTCATGGTTTTCTTAAAGAAGTTACATTCATAATTTCTAGGCATATTATGTTATTACTTTCACTATTATTACTCGTTACCTTGGAAAATAGAAACTTCATAATGATCCAAAGTTCTTATTTGAACAGCCATTATAGACCAAAATATTCTAACTTAGCATGGGTACATTAGACGTTATTGATAGTGTAACTAATTTTTCTTTGGAGTAAAACATACCCTATATATTCATTAAGATTGAAATGCAGAATGTGCAGATGATATTCAAAGTATTTGCTTTTCAATTTGCTCTTGACATACGACTGTACACTCTTTTACTATGGCATGTTCTCAATACACGTTTTTGTATTATTCTATGCTAGAAACAGTTGACATTGCTCAGACTATACTCTAGGTTCAGTGTCGGCTGGTGAAGTTGGAAATGTGATGCTAAGATACTGTTTGTTCGGAGACACGGTGAATACTGTGTCAAGTATGAAGTCTCACCGACATCGTAAGGATTATGTTTCGTTCCTCAGCAATACTTGTTTAGGGAAAGTTTTCGTAAAATCTTAACTTATTCAGTTGATTCTTTACATTGAAAGAAATATACCCATCGAGATAGGAAGCAACATACATTTGTATCTCACAATACTTGTTAAATAGATAAATTCTAAATGATGCACTGTTGATATGTAATTCTTCACCTTTTATAGACCGAGATATCGACTCATTAGCTCTTACAAATTATATATCATATAATAAATTGATTTTATACATGCAGTTCATGAATGTTTAATCTTTCCCCAATGAGACTGTCTAAAAACTGGAAAATTTCTAGCCGTATATTTCGCATGGACTGTCTGCAATAGCGTTTATTTTAAACTATCTAACATCACATCTATCTGAATGAACATTACGTGCCTCTGAAAATTAAGTCGGCGACTAGAGTTGTTTAAGTATCTTATGAAAAGAATAAAACATCGCATTTGTTTTTCGTACTGGCCTCTACTAACTATTACGTACATTCATGTAACGTTCTGGTGTTTGATACCCTATATATTACGGAAATTATGAATTATTTTCAGCGGACAAAATCAACATCAGCGATTCAACTTTCAGGTATCTCAGCAAGACAGGATCGTTTACTTTGTTACCTAGGGGTAAAGTTGTTGTCAAAGTGAGTTTGAGATCAGTTTTATTGTTTATAGTTCATTGTTTGTAATGTTTATTTAAATGATAGAGTGTGTGCCTGTTGCGACCCTTTTTCGTATTTCGTTGTCAGTAATTGAAATTTGTAACACTAGTAAAAGGCCCATGATGCTATAGCAATATTTTAACACAAGCATTTTAGCTCTTGCTCAGGGTGAGCTTTTAGGATCGACGAATGTCCGTCGGCCGTCCGTCCGTCGTACGTCGTACGTCGTACGTCCACAATTGCTTGTGAACACTGTAGCGGTCGCATTAGCCTTGGTTCCAGTCTGTCGATTTTTTATGTGCTTCTGTTCGGCAAATTGACAGCCTGGGGAAATACAATTTTCGATCGAAGCGCCATCTAGTATACACCCCGAAAATTACGGGTGTTATTAAAGAACGATAACTCATGCAACAACAAACTAGTTTCTAAAAATAGAAACGGAATTTCCACGAAGTGACCCGGAGCTCAGCGAACAGTTACGGAGCCTCGCTTTCAAAACACCATTTCCAATTAAAAACTAACACTCGTTGACAAAGTTTATTGCATGATAAGTGAATTTGATCAACAGGTGTGATTAGTTAAAGTAGAAAAGTGTGTGAGCATCAGACAATTGTGCTGGACTCAATTTATAATGGTAAATGGCGTCAAATTCTCAACATTTATCATCTTCGCCTGATTTCGATTTAGTCATGTTATTTGTTGGTCACGTGCTAATTGGTCTATTTATAGGATTATCATTAGTCGATAATTACATGGGAAACCCCGCAGGTTTCCCCAGGCGTTGATACTATCAAAACCAGAGATGTTGTGTTATCTATGACGATCGAATATGAAATAGCGCGTAAGTTATGAATAAGCAAAAATATCAACGCCTGAATGTTGCTTGTCTAGGTGATAGCTCGGATGAGTTTGGACATTGGTCATCTTGGATGAAAAAGTAGGTCACATGAGCAAAAATTGAAAAACCTTGTTAACACTCTAGCGGTCACATTTTTGCATTAATCATCATCAAACTTGATCAAGATGCTTGTCTAGGTGATAGCTCGGATGAGTTCGAACATTGTTGTGGTCACATTTTTGACTCACCTGTCATGACACTTGGTCAGAATGCTTGTCTAGGTAATTGTTTGGATGAGTTTGATTAGTCAGGTGAGCGATCTAGGGCCATCATGGCCCTCTTGGTATTGTTTGTATCCTATTATAGTTTCTGAAATAATACTCATTGCCCAATTACCTGAAACATCTTCATGCGTGGTAAACGATAGAACTACCTCTTTCGGGGTATACGATAAATCGCTCTAATGCTGCTTCCAAGCTACTGCATGTCGCTAAAATTAGGTGTCAACAAAGGAAAAGGGTGGTCTTTTTTATATATTTTGTGAACTCTACACTTTATGTCGAAATCCGAAGAATGCTATACCATTTAGATTTGATAGCAGTGTCCAGAAAAAAGTCGTATACCAGGCGTGAACTTATTATTCTGATATGTATTGTGCCAATAAGTAATGTTATAGTGATTTAGTGTTTTGTATAAAATACTACTTTGCTACTTTAATAACAAATAATTTCACACTCAGTGCTTCTTTCTTCGGGTTTTGAGCTTTAAGTAACATGTTTTGAAACCTTTCTTAAAACATTATAGAGCTCATGGTTGCCCTTTCAAAGAAGGATAAAAAATCTATTCCTTTCTGGGAATTCTGACGAATGTATAATAACTAGAAGCAGGAATATGACGTCATAAGCTATATTACATACAACAAAGTGAACAATACAATACACGAAGAGCCAAAAGACGCTATTTCATTTTGTAGGTGGTAGCCGAGAATATAAAAAGGAATTGTTTTGAAATGCTTTTAAAAGGGAAAAACATCGAGCATATGTAAAATTAATCTTCCTTAAAGTAATAAAAGATAAACAACAAAAAATGTTGTAAAGGGACAGAACTGTTGTAGGGAAAGAACTAGTATCAAATAAATACTTCATGCACTTACAGGGCAAAGGAGAGATGAATACATACTGGCTAATTGATTCTACTCGTAGAAGACAAGAATCTACAGTCGATCAAAATATTCCAGGTGGAGTAGAGTTCTTACCTGAAACTAATTAAACAGAATTGGGAGGCAAGGCTCAGAGTACCAGCTGCGACCCACGGTTTGATAGGAGGATGAAAAAGAACTCGTCATCAACTGTAATTCTATTTTCAATGAAAAAAGTGTCCGTGTCGTCAACAAAGAAAAGTATCACTTCTGATTTAGGTGGAGAATGGAACCAGTTCTAAGTAGCTCAATCTAACCAAATAATTGAGCAATCTTTTCTGTTATGATAAATATAAACGACAAGTATTGTGTATATACAAGTAGTTACAAACTTTCGTATCTGACTATTTATTTATTTAATTATTCATATCAAAGGGCTATTGCTTTCATATAATTATTATGTTGGATATCTTGGTACCTGTCATTAAATGCCTGAATAAAATAGTAAAAAAGAACTATTTATGTGAAATGTTTGATTTTTCGAATCAATTTGAAATTACATTTAGTCAAAAGAATATCATAACATGTGTAATTTGCAATAGACAATTGATTAAAAAAATGTTTAAATCACGCGGAAGCAATTTGTTTTGGTTTTCTATTGTGACTACGTGACTTATCAATTGTTTGCCACATGAGTGTTCTTTTCAGTATGTTGTCAATGTAATTTCCTGCCTAGTGATTTGTCATACTTTTTCTGATTCTTACTCCTGGAGGTTTGAACATTTTGATAATATTCTAAGAAAGACAAACATGCATGATTAAAATTACAATCAAACCAAAGTAATCGCTAATGAACATCAGCATTTTATATCATCTAAAATACGAAGGTAGTACCAAATTTGTGACTTTAAAGTGTTTTTTTTTTATATTAACGGTTTCCTGATATAACAATGTAAGTTTGAAGCATAATCGGCATAACCCGATTTTTAAATTTCATACGTTTGCTCTCACTGAAGAAGGGAAAATATTCATTGTGAGGAAACATAAATTAACATTTTTTCCCGATCCCAAAACCACTCCCTGCCCCCCCCCCTCCCCTCAAAAAAATGACACAGCAGCTTTTACTTCTCTATTTGTTTCAAATGCCCAAATCAAAAAGTCCTTTTGTCAACACAACAGTTCAATCGAACATCAACAGATACAAAACAGAACATCACTTTATTTCAGACTTATACAAAATAGATCATCTTACACAACTTTGAATAATTTAAGATTGTTCAAACAAAGACAAATCATATCAAAATGCTTAAGAAGCAAGATGTCTTTGTTATTTCCTAAAGTATACACTTTATCCAGTCATAATGTATTCTATGTTATTTTACACAGAGGATTAACCGTGAATTAAACGGTTATTGAAAGAAACCATTTTTTTTTCTAAATTTGACATGAAAAAAAATGCATGTAATATTACTATATTATCATGTAAGTCCCTTTTGTTATCATTTGTATATTTGTTACAATTATAATAATTTAAAAAAAACAGACTTTAGTATTTTTATCATCTTATGTTACTGAACAGAACACAGTACAGTCATGTCACATAACATTTACAACTTTTGTAAGTCTTGTTTGTATTCAATGGAATCATTTCCTAACCAGGTTGGAGTCAGTGAAAGCATTTTGTTATATTAAATATCTTTCCCCTCTTTTCTATGCTTCATGATGGTCCATCCGTCCGTACGGGAACAAAATGTCTAGTACGGACCCTAGGACATTTCACCACTCACCAGTCATGCGCTTGGAGATTTAATATCGAAGCGCAAAATGTTGATAATTAACCTCCATGTATTCACAAATTCGAAACTAAGGTAAACTCCGTTTTCCGTTATTTTCTGTACATAGCTCTTGGGAATTCACCTAAAGTGTAATAGCGCACTCGATGGGTTTTTTTCGGGCTTTTTAAATTAAATTGAAATAAAACAGTTACTTCTTTATATGAAAATAATTACAAATCATTGCATGATAATTCAATACAAAAATAAAGTAAATACACAAGTTTACACAGAAAATAACCTGATTTATTATGGAAGATTCCACTACATCTATTTTAATTTATTGATTTTCATAATAGACAATTCATTTTTTTTTGAAAAATTTTCAATTTATATTAAAGGAATATTGATAATTTTCAAAAAAGATCATTTTTTTACATTAAACGGTAAAGTAATGAAAAAAATATAAATATCATGTAACTGTGTAATGTACCTCATTTGGTGTAATGCCCCAGAGCTAAATCCGTAACGTACCGGAAAATCGGTGTTTAGCTAGGTTTTCGAAAAGGTCAATTACCAATATTACCAATGAAATGTCATTTTATATACTAAATTTATAATTATTTCAAAACAGCCAATATATCAACATGCTATTATTAAACATTTAGTTCAATAAATATTAATTAAGAATGTTATCAAAAGCAAAACTATTACATACTTATGCCTGAAAACTTCTTTATATTCACAAATTCAATCACTAATAGTATACTTGATATGCTGTGTGTAAATGTAATTCAAAATGTAACAAATAATAATTTCATGTGCAACTAAAAAAGGAATATAACAAATTTATAACAAAAGTGTCAAAAATTAGAACACGTAAAGCTATTTTCTACAGCAGAACTGCTTCCCGTTTTCATTCATTAATATGACACGCCGCGAATCACCGAAGGGGAGGGGGGGGGGTCAAAATTATAACGAAAGGAGTTCTGAATCCGAATTTATTTTAAGCTGTAAATCGAAGGGATAAATTGATAAAATCCGGGCCCTTGGACAAAAGATTAGTAAACACAAATAGGTCTGCGCCTGTGGGCGCGGATCAATAAACTTTTGAAAAATCATATAAGTCGTCAATATCAAGTTTTATTGCTGTTGGCTGAGTTAAGAGTATTGTTCTTTTATTCTATTCCAAAACTTGATGAGGTTTGATCTTTTTATACTTATTTTTGCATTAACAACCCTTGTTTATAGAATTTATTAGATTAGTTTTTAACAAAAACATTCTTTGTTTTATTATATTCTTTTCTTGCAGTTAAACAGCTAACAAAAAATACGTTCTTATATAATAAAAATAGCATACCAACTTAAGTCATCGGATCAATAAGTGTATACACTTTAAGCAAAGCAAAATATATAACTGTTGAAAAACACGAAAAACCATTTTTTTATTGCCAATAAAGTAGATCTAAAATATATAAATAAATTAATTAATAAATATATAAATAAATAAATCAATCAATCAATAAACAGATCAATGAATGAATGAATGAATAAATTAATTGATAAATAAACAACACAAAATTTTAAATAAACAAACAAACAAAAACACAAAAAAACAATACTTTGTTATATCGATATTTTAATTAATAGGTTGTGAAGGAAATCATTTAAATATATCCACGTTAATTAGTTGCTAACGTGAAACAATTTCATCGTTTTTTACAACTAAATGGTCAATTACAGTTAATTAAGTGTAAAATTGGAGACAATTTTCGACCAAAATAAAAGCAGCAGGTGTACGCCAAGAACGTGTTAATTGTGTATGTAAGTGCACTTCTTCATAATGTATATCATATCCGTGGTAACAAAGTGAATCTGAATGCTATTTGGTTAAAACATTTACTGAATAAGTTTGGATTACATTTCATATATAACATATACTTGAATGTGTTTAAATGAACATGAGTGTGAAAGGAAAGTAAGTTATTTAATATGATTTTAGAATAATACCTACTGTCAAAATGGTCGTACATACTGGAAATACTTTTTCTGTTCATTTATTCATGAAATTTATTAAATGAACAGGTAGAAAATTAGTCAGAGTAGTTTTTACAATTAAAAAAGTCCCCAATCTTTCTTAATATTTTTCCCAACTAAAATTTACTATCATCTTACAAAGTGTAAGAAAATTCTGTTCAATGGGTTTATTTTTTCTTCTTTTTTGTCTCTATAAAAAGTAAGGATTTTGGATGAGTGTAAGTTTAATACTGAATTTATTGAACGAGTTGAATAGAATTATAAAATGCGAGCCCTGGCGAGCATAAAATTATTTTATTCAACGAGTTCAATAAATTCAGAAATTATAATTGTAGAATCTAATTTGGAAGGATACATCCATAACTCGACAAATTGTGTTTTGCTTTTGGGTTGTGTGTTACTTCACAGGCATCAGAGCTTCAATTTGCTATTAGTTAATTAGTTTTCATGTTTGATTTATAGAAAGAGACTAAGAGCGAAAATGTAGTTTTTGATTATTTTACTGCTTTGTATCAACAAACTGGAGCACACATATTTATATCACCATAAAAAATAATAATACAATGATAATAATAATAATTAATTATATTATTATTATTATTATTATTATTATTTATTATTATTATTATTATTATTATTATTAACTGTTAGCAACTTGGAATTCTGATGCTAGTGTGCTACTTTTAGTAATAGGATTGGAAGTGGCCTGGGAGAGGTGTGGAGATATTTGTATAGTTAGCATGACAATAAATTAATGAAATGTCCAATAGAAATATCGTACAGCTGTTTGCAAAGTAGCCAGATTTTTACTTTAGGCAGATTAGAAAAACTTATAATAGTACTATAAGGAAACCAGCCTGATTAATTATGATCAAAATCTCGCATTTAGTGGAGATAGTGTCCATACAATCACATATTATCTCAACTGTGAGTATAATTATTTGGATTAGTCTTAAACATATATAATTCCTTTGAATCATCTAATTAATAAACAAGCTTTTTTAACCATTCAAGAACTTAAAAAGCGCCAAAGCACTGTTTTCCGCCATATCCCCATTATAAACAATAATTTGTCATTTTGAGTTTTTTTTATAAAGCTTTGCTTGAAGTCATAATATGTTTTACTCTAAAATTTGATTTTAAAAATGAGTATTTCTTAAAGAGCGTTTAATTTGAATACGTTTGATGTTATATTTGTAGTACAACATCTAAGCGGGATAGTTCACTGTCACATCTAAGTTTGACTGGTAATGACGGAGCAACGGCTATCGGATGTGGTAATTATCATTTTCGTTTTTAATTGTTTTGCTGTTTTTTTTTCTTTTTTAGTGAAGATATTCTAAATTCAAAATTGGATATTTATAGAATTATGGCTTAGTGTAAATAACCCGAATAAACAGATAATCCTTTTTCAATATGAAGCCAATTATCATGACAAAGTCGTGCAAAACTTAAACTATAACTAAAAAAGAAAACAACGTTTCCTATGTTACTAACACGATTCGTCCAATATTCGTGTTATGAAACTCATACTTACAGAATTTTACATGTACGTACAGTCATTAATATGAATGTAATTTCTATGACATTGTTGTATTTAAGCGGGTCGCCTAACGAAAGAACGAATACTTTGTCGTATTGTCAGTATGCGGGGCGCGACAGGTAAACTCTTTGTTGTGTTTTCGCTAGGCGCCCCGCAGAACGTAAATATGGCATGGTACAAATCAGCTTCTCGTTATGGATTTAAGCCAAACAATAAACTTAAATTACGCGCGAATGTGCTATAAAGTTTTATTGTCTCTCTATGTTTTTTTTAACTGAGGTTCATCATTAACAAGTATGCAATTATAATAATAAGGCATGAGTTGTTCTTGTGTTATATAGTAAAATTAATTCCTAATAATTCAAAGCACTGTGATCGTATTTCCAGGAAGATTGTTCCGGGCAGATTATCTGAGCACTCGAGGAAAATGGATTCATTTAGGGAAACTCCTGACAGCAGCGTTTATCCCTATACTGGGAGGTTGGACCTTCACATTGTACTCACTTGCAGATAACATTGTGGAAAAAGATACAACTGTTGAGGTAAATTAGTTTAAAACGATATTAACAATAGTAAATTTAGCAAAATTTGGCAACATTTGAATATCTTAGTAGTCTCAGAGATCCACGAAAGCTTTCTTTTTAGTATTATGTTTTTGTAAGTACCGATATGCTTTATGCTCTGTCTGCAAATGGACACAATCTTCACACCGACATACTTTGAGAAAAATATAGCAAGAGAGAGAGAGAGAGAGAGAGAGAGAGAGAGAGAGAGAGAGAGAGAGAGAGAGAGAGAGAGAGAGAGAGAGAGAGAGAGAGAGAGAGAGAGAGAGAGAGAGAACGAGAGAGAGAGAGAGAGAGAGAGAGAGAGAGAGCCTTGTTTTTTGTGTTTAGTAAATATACAAATTTGTTAATGTATTTCTATGAAGCCTTTGATTATTTTCATAGACCACATTAAAATGCATAACATACGAACTCATGTCTTCTAAATGCTAGGCTCAAACATTGATGTTGAGGGCGGTCAGTTTAGGAAGACTAATATACACGATCCAGAAAGAACGGGATATGAGCATCTTATACATAAGTAAAATAGGACCAAGCACCAAGGCGTTCTTGATTGACGAATACGACAAGACTGACAGAGCGTTTGCTGACATGTGGAGCTGGCCTTTAGAATTCACAGTCCATGAAAAGAAATATTTTAGATCCAAACAAATGCTTATAAACCATATAAATAGCCAAAGGAATAAACTTGACCCAAATTCACCAGATGTATATGGAGAGATCAAGTTTTACAGCGAAATTGTTGAATTCTTTATGGATTGGATGATTGAGCGAATTCGAGAAAGCGGCTTTGGGAACATATGGAAATCACTTGTTGTTTTTCAGAAAATTACACGGTGTATGTTGGACACAGGGGCAGAAAGAGCATATGGGGCAATGTTCTTTGCTCAAGGAAATTTTCCTGACCTTGACCTATACGATAACTACTTCCGGCGGATATTTCGTTTCAACTACAACTACAAAAGTGCAACATTTCTGTCCGACCTTGTTGACCCATTATTTGACGCAAAAACAGACCAAAGAAGTTATACAATTGCAATACGAAGCCTACGTACAGAAATTAAGAACAGCAACTTCTCAGGACATTATGTCAGCAAAGAAAAGGCAGAGTTCTATTTCGACAATTCAACGTTTAGGGTGGATTATTTATACATATTACAAGAAGCGGTTGCTATGCGCGTAATTCGGCGTATAAATTCGACAGTCGACGGATACACTGAAAACATCGTCATATATAGCGTCACAGCTTCGTTGGTGATTATAGCATGCCCATTTATCATGTCCTTCTCGGAGCAATTGACAAGCAACATGCAGGAGTACTCGAAAATCCTGGTAAAGGCGTCTGATGAACTCAATAAAGAACGTTCTAAAACAGATTCCCTTCTTTATCAGATGTTACCTCGACCGATTGCAGATAGGTTAAAACGGAAGAGTGCTGTAGAATCTGAATTCTTCAAATCTGCCACGGTTATGTTCACCAGCGTGGTCGATTTTATTCAGCTGAGTATTGAATATTCTCCAATGGAGCTGATCGACCTACTGAATATTCTTTATTCCTCTATTGATGACAAAATTGAGATGTATGACGTGTACAAGGTGGAGACAATAAATGACACGTACATGGTTGTATCAGGTATGCTTTTTCTGAACTTCAAGATCCGCATTACTTGGTTATTGTAAATCGGACATACGAATAATTATGCCAAGCCGATTAAGTTCGACCCTTTTCGAAAATATTTAGACATTTGATTGTACAATGTTTTTTTTTTTCTATTTTGTTTGCTTTGAATGGAATATGCATACCGAAAAATATCAAACTTTCACTTGAAGTTCGTTTCTATTGTAACTATGTGTCAAACATCAGTCATTCCCGTTTTTATCGCGCAAAGTTTTTATGTAACTCCCAACATGACAAAAAACTTTAAATATGAGCTGTGTCCGCGCCTCGCAGTCTGATCAGGATCCATGCTATTTGGTATCACTTTCTGTTTTTGTTATATAGTTTGAAAGCGAACAGCATAGATCCGGTCAGGCTGCGCTGAAGCGCAGGCTGGTCTGGATCCATGCTGGTCGCAAACGCACTATGTATGTTTTGTCGTGACGCGGCTCATATATTGCTATGCTTAACATCATAACGTATGCAAGGGTATTATGAAAAAATTATTGTTCAATATCTTTTCCTCCTGGCACCTAAGCACCGGCTTAAGCGAGTATTAAATTTTTAACACAAATATTAGTATTTGTGACCAAAAAAGAAAAGAAGAAGAAGAAGAAGAAAATTCAATGCATACAAACTGTTGAACATTTTAATAATGTATAAATCTGTATAAAAATAATAGTGTATTATTTGATATATCCAGTCGACTCAAATGAGTTATATTTTTATCCAAATAGGAGTGCCTACGCCAAACGGTAGCAGACACGCTTCCGAAATCACCTACCTTGCATTGGATATAGTGACATCAGTGAAATATAAGACACTTGTATCAGTGAGCACAAAGCATCCACTGCATTTATTGATTGGTATAAGTACAGGTAGGCCATGTGCATATTTATAGAAGTTAAACTCAAAAGCTTAGGCATTTAATGACATTAATTTAATTATTTTTCACTCGTTAAGATGGCAACAAAGAAACTATCGAAATTAATATATCATATCCTTAAAATCCATGAACGCAGCATTTCAGTAGGTGCCGATGAGTGTTAAAGTTGTTTTTTTTTATTTTGTGTTTTTAAAATTAAATCATTGTTTTCTTTCGAGCATTCACTTCTTTCTATGGCATATATTTGCTATTAAACTTGCTTTTACTTACCACTGAACAAACGTCTTCGAGAGCAAATTTTCAACGCACTTTTTTATCATTCTATTCAAGAAGAACTTGAATTGGTTTATATTTTAGGTTCAGTGTCAGCTGGTGTAGTTGGAAATGTGATGCTAAGATACTGTTTGTTCGGAGACACCGTGAATACTGCGTCTAGAATGAAGTCTAATGGGCATCGTAAGGGTTGTTTTTCTTTCTTTAGCCATATTGGTTTAAACCATCCATTTTAACGTCGTATAGATCCATCAGGATAAAAACTACGCGTGCATTCGAAAAGTGCGTCAGCAGTATAGCTAGTTAAACTCCTATGACAATGATACAATGTCTAATGTTATTTATTTCTTATTAGCGTCTATCTTTTACGTACATTCATGTAAAATTTGTGTTGTTTCCCTTAATGGTATGATATTTTATTGTATGGAAAATTGTAAATTATTTTCAGCCGACAAAATTCACATCAGTGAATCAACTTTCAGGAACCTCAGCAAGACAGGAGCGTTTACTTTGTTGCCTAGGGGTAAAATTGTCGTCAAAGTGAGTTTGAGATCAATCTTAACACTCAATCTTAATTTTTATATTTCATAGTTTGTAACTTTGTTATAAATATTTTAACGATAAGAGTTGGTGTGATCTCCTTGTCTGTACGAATGCGTGCGTGGACGGAATGGCTTTAATGTCTTTTATTAATCACAATTTAGACATAATATGATCATAGTAAATTATTTTACAGAATTATTTCTTTACTGTGGTACTATAATTACGTGTTGAGATCATTCACGCATCTTTATAATACACAGTCTTTTTACTATCAATGGTTAATCAATAAGTATTGTACTTCTTATTTGTTTAGGTTAACACTAACGATTACATATTATATCAGACAGTTATTATTTAAATCAGTGGCTGCTTTTGTAAATTTCTCAAAATGTGTTAAATTTGTATGGAATTTTCATGCATTTTGGTATGAAAAGGGAAAAATTGACAGAAAATGCTCACTTTAGTCGCTGGTTCAGAGGCGCTTGCAAGGTACTTCTTACCTCTTGTTAGAACTTCGCCATTTCTAGTTGAACTTAAGAGAACTTTTTATTTTTTGCGGAGGGTTTCTAAATCTTAAAAAGCTAAAACTCATTGTCAATTTTAATGCTTCAGAAATATGACTTGTTAATTAGTAGAATGAATATTATATCGTTGTTGAGTTTTTATGTAACTTAGATTAACTATAACACTATAATTAAGAAAATAAATACATAATTGTTGAACCTTTTTACATGTTTCTTTGTACTTGCTGTTGAAAAAAAATCGATCAAAATTATCCGGTAACAACAGGAGATATTTCTGTTCCATGGGTGTTAAATTAGTTTAATCAGATTTAAAAAATAATGTTTATTTGAGACATTTACTTAATTTAATATCTGCTCATGTTCATGCTCATCTAAGACAAACATACTGTTATTTATGTGACTTGCAAGTTAGTTTGAAAGACCAACTTTATTCTAAAAAATACTGCTAACGTATAAACATTTATAGCGACTATCAGGCTAAATATCAGATACTATCTAACTAACTACGTTGCAGTTAAATTTTGTGTCAATATATTAAATAACAGACTCTTACTTTCAAGAACACCAGAAAGAGACTGAAATTGACACAATTTACAATTAAATGTTAGCTGATTAGCTAATGAAAACTATTCGAGTTTCTGTGTCATTAATTGAAATGTCAGATATGTAAAGTTTGTTAAACATTCGGTTACTAGACACACATGCATCGTTTATATATGCGGTTGATATCCCTTGCATTTCATGTTATTCCCTAATATATTAATTGCCTATCACTTAAATCATTTTTAATTTTAATTTTTAATGACTTGATAATTACGGAAGCTTATCAGGGCCTCCACTTATCTTAACGTTTCACGTTATGTCAAATTGTTTCTTCTCGTTTTGACCAAATACATTCCATGAAAACTTTATGGTTAATACGTTATACATAAAACATTCTATGAAGACAGTATGAGTAATACTTAATACGTAGAAGTTTTTAATCATTGCAAAAACACTTTGTTGAATTACGTGAGCTATTTGTCAATGCCAATAACGCCTTTGCGTCCTGCTAAATATTTCAGCAAAGTCGAGAAATCAAAAAGTTTCTACAGGTTTTTGTCGCAAAGACAAAAGCTTCAGGCATATCGAGAAAAATTCAGTTAAAATGCCTAAAAGCTTCTCATTTTTGTCAGAAACTTTTATCAAGAAATGCAAAAACATCTTATGAATGCGAATAAAAAATAAGCCGACTTAGCGCAAAACATCCGACCAACTGCAGACCCTGATATGCTTCCGTATATACTAATAAAAGACAAAAATCTTTTTAAAGAAATGACGATTTATAAAAAAAATTATTACAGGGCAAAGGAGAGATGAATACATACTGGGTTATTGACTCTACTCGAAGAAGACAAGAATCTACAGTCGACCACTATCTTCCCGGTGAAGTAGAGTTCTTACCTGAAATTAGCTCTACAGACTTAGGAGGCAAGGCTCAGAGTACCAGCCAAGACCAAAGGTTTGATCGTAAGATAAAAAAGAACTCGACAACAGTAAATCAATTTGCTATGAAAAAAGTGTCTGTGACGTCAGCAAAGGGAAGTGTCACTTCTGATTTAGGTGGAGAATGGAACCATTTCTAAGAAGCACTGTCTGACCAAAAACATTATGAAATGCATCAGTAGTTAAAAAAAAGTATTGTGTTTTGTATCAAAACTTTAGATGTTGAATTCTGCTTAAGCCGAAGCTAGAGTGCGTGAACTCTAACTTTCACTTTTCATTACCGTCCTGAAACAGGTTCAATCAAACCGAGTCTGCAACAATGTGTCGTTTTAGGCATTCTTTAAGATTTCGTTATTTGAGTTGTTGTATTTATAAATCAGAATATTGAAATTGAATTATTAACCTAAAAGGGCCTTTCCTAATATTTAGGATGTGATGGTACCTTTCATTTAATCAAAATGCCTTGTCAAACAGGAATCTTGCCAGTTAATTGAAATGCTTGGTAAATTTCAAAAATACATTTAGTCAAAAGAAGCACAACATGGCCATGGCGAGCTTTTGGAACATTCTCCGTCCGTCGTCCATGGCCGTGCGTCACTATGTGGTTAAATATTTCTTTAAGTAACATCTCCAATAAAAGTTAGGGTCAAAGTATATATACTCGTTCTATTAATTCTAAAAGCAAACCACTTTGGATTATCCTAGTTTGATGTATGTCTTGCTATTTTGGATCGAGACCCCAACCTTAAAATAAATATGGCGGCAAAACTCAAAATGGCCGCCAATATGGCCGCCAAAATCCAGTTATTTGAGATACGCTTTCGATAATTTATAATAATTGCAAAATAATGCAATATTTAGCATTATATGTTTTTCTTTTGTGTTTTAAACATACAAACAAAATCTTTGATATGAAATTTGGCATCAGATATTGTTGTAATTATGACCGACAGTTTAGGATCTTTATGGTTTTGAATTTAATGACTCTTATTAAAGCTTTTTTAGATATTTCGGACTTCACCTTATATCTCTAAATAAAACCAAGTTTAAAAGTTCAATTTTAATAACTTATTATCCATATAAGAACAATATTTATACGGTGACCACTGAGAAGTTCTTTAAAATTTGATAATTTAATGACACATTTCTACTTTTATCGCCGGTAGCCATTTTCCTAATTACAGCTACATCTTAACTTTAACATACATGTTTTTTGCTGGCAACAACTTTGTCTACAAAAGCTATCAAAAAAATATTGGATCAGCTTTTTTTGCTTTGACCAAGAGTTGTTTCGACTTTATGTATTGGCTTATATCGAAATCAAAGGGTTCTGTGGTGCCAAATTCAAAAAGTGGTCAACTTCACATTGTTTTAAAAATTAAAAGAAATTCAAGTTAATTGCCTCCATGTGCGCTTAGATACTTTTCCAGAAAATCAACTTCAAAAAAAGTATTTTACTGATTTTAGAAAGGTTAAGTTATTCACAATTCCAGAAATAAATTAAATGTTATTTGCAATTAATCCATGATTTTGCAGTATTTTTCAGGTATTTGTAAGTGCTATATTTGCATATTCTGACCTACCTAATAAATTTTGCTTGAAAGTGTAATTTTCTTTCTTTGTTCACTTGACAATACTTTACTTTCTAATATATTTTTAACATTTTCCTGAAATTCAGTATGAATTTGGAGGCATGCAGCTCCTAAGCTTACTTAAGTTAAGCTTGATAATGACACTTTATTAGTTTATGATCGTGTGTTTTGGTTAAATGGCACATTGCCAAACATTACATTAATGGCAATTTATTTGCTGATATAGGAATATTAAACCTAAGAAATAACATAAAAAGGTAAAAAAAAAGAGAGTAAATAACTTTTATAATACAGGTTAATATCGCTTAAGTAGTCGATCAATATCAAGGAAGAAAATGGGTCAAAAAGTTGCGAAAGTGTATTCAATCGGTAATATATATATGATGAACTTTTGCAAGACCATAGCATTCAGCATAATGGTCTGTTAAAAGATGAGAATGTATTGCTCTATTGTGTCATGTTGAACATCTCAGAAGACCAACCTGATCATGGTGGTTTATAAGAGAGAGAGACAGATGGTGACACGTTCAGTCAGGGGTTTATATCATTTGTTCAAATTTGATTTCCATTCAGATTATATAAGTTTATTTAATGAAGGTTAAAATTCACAATTTTGGAAACAGTAAAGGTTGTGTTTTTAAGGTTTCTTTAGTCACACTTTTCATATCTTTGTACTCCTTCGTGGCCTGGGATCCAACATAATTTTACTGACATGTTTTTAATATATCATGAAATCACAAAATAGCTTCTTTACCACAATATTATCAAAATTTCTATTTTGATTGATATAAAATATCACAGACAGTGAATCTGAAAAAGTTACAAATTATCATGCTGTTAAATGTTTGACATGGCTAAATTAAAAGCTTTTGTTTCAGCAGTAAATATAGATAAATCACCAGGTAGTCTCATTCACGATGTAAAATGATTTCTATAGACAACTGCACCTTCTTCGCAACAATCTTTGTAATCGTCTGTGTAATTTATGAAAAAATTCTAGACGTTCTTTGAAGTTTGAAAAATGGTCTTAAATAACACTGTGAGAAATGGATGACTTCTTTAAATTTGATAGACTATTTGAACTTCTGGAAAAATGAAGTTCAAAGAGAAACATCTACAACATTTTGAAGAATATACTTTGTGTCTACTTTAAGTTTTTCTAATCTATCCTTTTAACGAAGAGGCGAGCTTCCTTTAGTCTGTTAAAATATTATAGCTATAATTTGGTTAAAGCATGACCTTTATCAGTTGATGATACCTTAGCTGCGTGTTTAACAGAAAGTTTTTCATCAGAAGATGAAGTCTTACTTTAAAGTTTCTATCGACAAGAACGATAGAAATGATGATTTGAAGTTTACTTTTTAATCCTGCATCCTTTATATCTTAAAGAATACCATGTTTCCATGCTGTATCATAAGGTTTTACAAGATCATATGAAATTATAAAAATAAAGCCGAGTGTTGTTTATTTATTTAAGATTTTCTTATAAAAAATCGGGATGAATATGATGATTATTGGAACTCTGTTATTCACGAAAACATGACTGAAAGCTAGAAATTATTCCTTTAACTTCTTAATACTATAACAGGGATTTATTTACCATTGTATCAACTGTTTGGAATAAGTAGCTTGTAAGTAAAATTAGACGGTAATTTGCAGGGTCAGTGCTATCCCTTTCACGTTAAGAAATAATGGGATAACCACAGCTCCTTTCGAACTTTAAGGAAATTCACCAGATAACAAAATGTTGTTAAATATATTAGGAAGGGCACAAAACGGCAGTAATTCCAGAGATTGATGTAGGAGGTGTTTAAGAAATCATAGTAAATGACTACTCGACCTGCTGCTGTATCTTTTGCTTTTTAATCGAATCAACCAAACCTTTGAAAGAAAAGAGAGATTTGTGAATTTTGTCATTTGCTGAAATGAAATTTATTTGTTCTCCTATAATTTTAGAAACTTAATGCTGTAGAAACTCATTTGAAATAATTATTTGAAGAAGAGTTCGTTTTCTGCAAATGTTTTCTTAATTACGTTTTGTGTTTTTGCAATTTGACAATTATTAGATTACAATTAACTAAGTAGTGGGATTTTTTTTAATTTACCGCTTATCTATCTAACTGTGTCCCATATTTTCTTTATAGGGATATTTGCATTTAAATCTGAAACATACGACTTCCATGACTTGCGCTTGGATGATGAATTGATCTAATACCTGTAGCTTTGACTCAAAATATTTCATGATGTATGTTGGACAATGCTCGAATATTAAAGATAAACATTCTAACGACTAACGGCTTTCTATCGTTTATCATTGAACCATGGTTTTTTTATTTTTGCAATAAATTGTGCGTACTTATTTTGGTGGCTGGAATACTCTTGTGAGAAATCTGTTATTATGCTGAAGAAAAGGTAAAAGCTATTTTATCAGAATTAAAATCCAAATCGGTCTGATTTCTGTTTAAAATTCAGACTACAGTAAGAAATCAATAAACTCTCCAATTCAATTCGATGAATTTTAGAAAATGATGTCACAGGTACCAATGTAATTAGATAATTTTTTGCGTTTATCTTAATTTAACCTTTTATCTCATAAAGACGTGTTTTTACGGCTTTTCGTCCACTTCTTTTTGAGGCCTCAAACAGTGAAAAAAATGTTCTATTTAAGCCCCAAATACTGGTTCTCGTATGAGAAATTCTATTAAAAAAGTGATCACTTTTTCGGCGCCTCCCTTATCAAAAAGGTACATCAAGAGGTTGCAAGCAGAGGGATGTGCCCCCTTCTGTTCGGGGTTTGAAAGGGGAAGGTCCCACATCACCAAGAAAATTTTGGACATGTGACAGTCTTAAAATTACCTCAGGTCGATATAAAGGTAACGTGTTACCAACGCTGAAAAGCCCTTTACTGTTTCTCAATCCATTCAGAAGTTGGAGGACTTTGAGATCAGTTTTGATGTAAAAAAAAGGCAAACAAACAAAAACAAAACAATGCAAAATAGTGATTTTTCACAATTTTGAGATAGCCATGGTAACAGGAAATTTACGATTGAGCATGCAGGTACATAGGCTATGGTCCATTTAACATTTGTGCAAAGTTTCATCAGTATTAAAGCAATTTTTAAAGTTCCATGGTAGTTTGAACTTATAACAAAAGACCTTTAAATGAAAACGGCCATTTTTCACAATATGCTCATAAGGTAAAAGGTTAAATGTATAAAAATGAGAAATTGTACTTGTATTTCTTAAATAAAGCTGCAATTGAGCCAAACATCAGTAGGGTTTCAAATTATTTTTTCTCTACAGTGACTCTGTTGGGATTGCACAGAGGCAGTGTGTGTGTTAACCATTATTTACATTTAAGGTCTGTTTACCCTACTCACTTTTGGCGTCGCCTCAGTAAGACAAAGAAAAGGTGTAGCAAAGCTTTGTAAAATGACAAAATATACAATAAATTTATTAACTAAATTATGATGTTTGATATACTTGATGGCTCATTTGAACCACCAGGAAAATTGAAACTTGATCTTAATATTTTTAGTAATTTATCCGATTTTTCATACATTTTTCAAAATAAAATGGCTGAAAATTTGTTATTTTATCCTTCTGTTCATAAAAAAAATATTCAAAACAATCAGTTCATTTAAATATATTTCTATTTAACAAAAATGATAAGAGTATCC